GGATCCCTGGTGAGCATGTTCCATAAAGCCCTGTGAGTTTCTAAGGGCGTGGTGCGGTTATCCAAACTGCTCCGCTAACAGGCAAAGATATTTTCTATTCTCCCAGGCCCTTTTGGAGTAGCTTTTCAATAGTTTTTAATTTGGTTAAAATAGATTTAATGAACTTGTCTGCTGCTGTCTTTACTGTGGTTTTGCAGCTTGTTCTTTGTCTGTTTGGATGCTTAAATACAGTTGTTAAAAATGATTTTGTAAATTGCCTTGGAATTTTTGAGGAAGGCAAATACAATATTGGCATGCCTAAATAAATAAATAAATAAATAAATAAATAAATGCCCAGTCTCCACTGTCTTACTATCCTCCAAAGCCTCTGGGAATGATATTCATTGGTGGTCAGGTTCAAGTATCTCCTGTTATAACAATAGGTAGCTGCCCTTTGTCCAAGTTATCATTTATATATTAATATTTTAGGCATTTGAACCAGCCTTTCAAATATGTTCACATAGCAGCTTACCACAAATTAGGCAACTTGTGAGCTGGACAGACCAGCTGGTCTGACTCAGAAGAAGGTAAATAAATACGTTGCTCGCTTGCCACTTTTATGAAACATCTGGAATGGTTCTGGAAGCAGAAGATCAGGAAGGCAGCATGTTAATATATGACTGTTTCAGATACTTCATTGCGCGGATATTCTCTGTGCTGTCCAGGCAGAAAAAGGCTTGCATTTTTTAAGCAGAAAGGTAAAGCTTGCTGATCAGCCTTAGAAAATACATGAATTACAGTTCACATGATGGGCTTCTTTCCAGGATCCTCTCAGTTGCCTTCAGAGATGGATTATGTTTCCACAAATGGTTCCCCCCTCTCCCCAATTCCTCGAAAGCAATAATCACCTCGCTAACCAGAAGTAAATAACTTAATCTCTACTTGAAAAGGGAGATGAGGTTTCCTCTTTTCTGGGTACCAAGAGAGGACAGCTATAAATTGTCCTTGGAGTCTTACCAGTGGAAGCTGTCAATGAGGTACTTCCTTCTTCCAGGTAAATACTTCCAGGCAATTTTGCCAAGTGTGGCAGATGTTATGGCAACCCCATTAGCAGAGCAGGTGCTAAAGCACATGTTATATCTCATTATGGCTTTCTAAGCAAAGCTCCACTTAAAATCAAGTGGCTTACTTTATTTCCCAAAGCTTGTAGAATAATGTTTGATAAAATACATTTTGTTTTACAGTTTAGTTTGTACTGTATTGAGTTTAGTTTTGTAACACACATAAAAAAAGACTGATTCAAGGGAGACATCTTGGATAATCGTAGCCCTATTCATTTGAAACAACAATAGACTGTTGAATCAAAAAGCACAAAACCAAACAGAACAATTTCCACATAAATCATAAGACCTTAGACAAAGATACAGAAAAGTGTTTTGGGGTGTTGCTGTTATTTATATTAAACAATACCCCAACCCAAGAGTCTGTACAGATCTCCCTTGTTATTGTTTAGTCATTTAGTTGTGTCCGACTGTTCGTGACCCCATGGACTAGAGCACACCAGGCACTCCTGTCTTCCACTCCCGCAGTTTGGTCAAACTCATGCTGCTAGCTTTGAGAACACGGTCCAACCATCTCGTCCTCTGTCGTCCCCTTCTCCTTGTGCCCTCAATCTTTCCCAACATCAGGGTCTTTTCCAGGGAGTCTTCTCTTCTCATGAGGTGGCCAAAGTATTGGAGCCTCAGCTTCAAGATCTGTCCTTCCAGTGAGCACTCAGGGCTGATTTCCTTAAGAATGGAGAGGTTTGATCTTCTTGCAGTCCATGGGACTCTCCAGCGTCTCCTCCAGCACCATAATTCAAAAGCATCAATTCTTTGGCGATTAGCCTTCTTTATGGTCTAGCTCTCACTTCCATACATCACTACTGGGAAAACCATAGCTTTAACTATATGGACCTTTGTTGGCAAGGTGATGTCTCTGCTTAGGACAGCATCTTAAAAAGCAGAGACCCTAGACCCCCAAAATACCTAATGTAGTATACTTTGTTCTTCAAGGTTTCAGGGAGAAGCCTTTCCCATTACTGCTACTTGGAAATGTTGTGGACTAAACCTGGGAACCTGCATGCAGACTAAGTTATGTGCACTGCCACTAAGCTATGACCAAGTCCTCTGTGCTGGAAAGTGTGGTGATTTTCTTGATTCCAGAGAAAGAGGAAATCCTGCAGTTCAAGCCACCACAATCTATAGAAATGCTGTGGCTCATCTGTTTTGAAAGGGAGAATGCTTTGAGGGAGAATGTTTTTAGCTTAAGCATTAGACATTCACAGTCTTGAAGACTGAGTTGAGGAACTTTAGATCGTATTTACAGATTATCCTATACTGAAGCCAAGTGAGTGAGTGCTGAGTGGAGCAAGGAAAGGAGGAGGAGGAGAGGAGGAGGAGGAGGAGGAGTTTGGACTTGATATCCCACCTTTCCCTCCCCTTAAGGAGTCTCAAAGCAGCTAACAATCTCCTTTCGCTTCCTCCCCCACAACAAACACTCTGTGAGGTGAGTGAGGCTGAGAGACTTCAGAGAAGTGTGACTAGCCCAAGGTCACCCAGCAGTTGCTTGTTGAGGAGCGGGGAAGCGAACCCAGTTCACCAGATTACGAGTCCAGTGCTCTTAACCACTACACCATGCAGAGCCGCCATCATTGAAGCAATGTGCTTTCACTCCTGCCTTCTCCATTTGGGTGGCATTTGGGGATGGATGGATGGATGCGCCTCAGTCTATTCTTACATTCATTCACATTTTCACCTGCTCTTTTTCATTCTACTGAAATTGGTTTATTTCACACAAAACTTTTTCCCCATTTCATCATCAACCTTCAGATTTCCCTTGGGTCCGATCCTGGGGAACGTAAATAAACCTTCCCTGACCTCTGCACCCAGCTCATCACCAGATCTCCCACCCTCTTCCATTTGTTTCTCTTGTTTGTGCTTGACCTTGTTATGGACTTCATTGGCTGCCATATTCAGGACCAGACAGGAATTTTTTCACCAGGCCAATTGGCTCCCGTTGGGTGGTTTTTGCCTGTCTCATAGCAATTGTCACAACTTTGGGCGGATTGGAATTGGGTATGCCTTAGTCTTGGTTGGAGGGGAGGTTGTAGCCTCTGCCTGCCCCTCCAAGAGAAAGGCTATCCCATTAAAGGGATCTGGGAAGAGATTATTTTGCCCAGGCACCCAGATGGCTGTTGTCTATTTTTCTGCGTCATGCAGAGTGATACAGTGGTTTTACCCTTGAAGCCCTAGTGATGAAGTAGACTCCACACACAAGACTTTGAAGAGGACTCTTGCAGGATGGCAACTACTAACAAGCAATAGTATTTATGCATATCAAGTCCAAAAATGTGTTTCTCTCCCTTGAGTGCCTTTCTTGCTTCTTGCTTCAAAAACTCCTTTGTCTGTCCTCACAACAGTGTGTTCTTGGAGTCTCCACACACAGCTAAACAACCAGCCAACCTTCAACTCCCATCCCTCACATAAGACACACACATCCTCACTTTTAAAGGGAGTTAACAAATTGAAAAGGCAATGATTCAGCATTTCTGTGACCTGAATTGGAGACAAGATTTTGCAGCTGTTACATTACATTACATAGGTTTTCTTTTCCCCGTACGATTTATTCTTTGTAAAATACATCTTCTAACAAATACAGTACAAGACAGCAATTCCACAGAGGCATTCTTATTTGATGCATGTCTTAGGACTCCGTCATTGCTGGGTTGACCCAGGAAATACTTCCAGCAGGCGGGCTGGACGTCAACAGTTATACTCTATGCCTATGCTAAACCTCTGACATCTGTAATCAATAAAGGTTATGGCCTTATTTGCCCCCAAATATGTTGTCCTGTAGGGACGCGGGTGGCGCTGTGGGTTAAACCACAGAGCCTAGGACTTGCTGATCAGAAGGTCGGTGGTTCAAAGGTCGGTGGACTTGCTGATCAGAAGGTCGGAAGCTGTACGCCGGCTCCCTCAGCCAATAAAGTGAGATGAGCGCCACAACCCCAGAGTCGGTCATGACTGGACCTAATGGTCAGGGGTCCCTTTACCTTTATGTTGTCCTGTCTGGTTATTCCATTAGAGACGTGAGAAGCAGGTGGTGCTGTGCCTGGGTATGCAAACATGGGATTATAAAAGCTGGGGTGTGGACACAGGAAGCTGCCTTATACTGAGTCAGACCATTGGTCCACCTAGTGTAGGACTGACTAGCAGAGACCCTCCACGCTTTCAGATATGCGTTTTTCCCCAGCCCGACCTGGAGGTGCCAGGGATTGAATCTGGAAGCTCCTGAATGCAAAGCAGATGCTCTATGGCTATTCATCTTGTGCAGGAAAAGCCACTCTGGAAGTGGGCATGAAAATAAGGAGAATGCTGTCCAGCCAAAGCTGGCCACATGACAGTATTTTCTGTATATAAAATGTGTGGTTAATTATTGTTAATAGAGGATGTGAACACTATGTAGATTCGTTGTGAGCTGCTATTTCACTCCTCATCTGTAGGCTGTTGCAGATGATTTCTGCAGCTTCTAATGCAAAGGAAATAAAATCCAAGCTAAACAGAAATGCATACCATCGTTTTTGCAAAACTGGGACACCAGTTATGAAATTCAGAAGGGAGGCAGACTCTCTTCATTGTCATGTTGTGTAAAGATAGATGTCACGCAGATCTGCAAATGCCTGGCTTGATTAAACATGTGCTCTAATGAGAAATTTTTGAGGTTACACATGCCTTTGGGTTCCATAAATCAGAATCACACTCTTAATCGTTGGTAGTTTCTCATTATTTAAAACCTTCATCATTAAACTAATCTGGGTACTTAAGGTTTTATGAGGCTGGATTTAGAGTTGCTGCAAAAAAATTAGCCATTAAAAGCTGTTGATGCTGGTTCTTGAAATGTTTTGATGGCAACAATGTGTTGATGTCTAGAACAATACAGAAAATTCCTGTATGTTAACACCCTCCAAAGCACCCCAAGAGAGGGATGTAGTTCAGTGATAGAACATCTGCTTTGAACACAGAAGATCCCATGTTCAATCTCTGACATCTCCAGGTAGGCCATCCTACCAATGGCTGCCAGCCATGAGGGCTATGCTTTGTCTCTAGGGTTAGAGGCAGTAATGCTATTGACTACTGGTTGCTGGAAGTCACAGAAGAGGAGAGCACTCTTGTCCTGCTCAGGTCCTGCTTGCTGGTTTCTCACAGGCATCTGATTGGGCACTGTGACAATAGGATGCTGGACTAGAAGGGCCACTGCGTCAATCCAGCAGGCTCTTCTTATGTTCTTATGCCTGAGAGATACACTCGTCAGTTAGTGTAGACAATGCTGAGGTAGGTGGACCAGTAGTCTGACTTAGTCTATTGCCGGTTCCTATGTTTCTCTATCTCTTCATCAGCACAGCTACGTTGCAAGGCCACTGGTGGCCGAACATGTTTATTAGGGGCTCCTGTGAAGGCCACCAATGAATATCTCTGTAATTTGATTTTTGCATTCATGATACAGCCTAGTGTGTTTTCATTATTTCTTATTCTTCATCCATTACTATCATTAAAATAAATTAAAAAAATGGAAACTGCAACAGATTTGATTTGGACATTCACAAAATCAAATCAAAAAGTGTATATTAAGCATGGAAGATGTTGGCAGAGATCTCCAAATGTGGGCACGGATACAAGTTTTGGTGAGCTTTACAGGCCCCCAAACTCTTCTCTGACTCAGAATAAAATTCCAGCCGTCCCCACCCAGCCGCCATGATGCCCAAAACACTCTTCCTCCCAGCTCCCTGATCTCCAAACCCTCATCCCTCTCCCATATATATTACAGTTACTGGGTAGCACAGGGATAGCAGCAGTGTTGGCACTCCAGCTGCAGTGGAGGAAGACTAATGTGAAGAGGGAGGTTGGGTTTCTCCTTTCCTTCTCTCTTGTGTGCTGTTAGGACAGTAGTTGTGGAGAAGTTTCCAGCATCCTTTGGGAGCGATGGTTTTTCTGAGGGCTACTCTGATTTCCAAAGTCAGACTAGCTTATAAACAAGATGAGCTGTTTCTTTTTGGGAAATAGTTGAACTGGAAAAGCTCTACAAGCTGAACTATTTAATGTATATTGAACTGTGCCTACATCTTGTTACAGCTGGCTTACCAGCGAAAGTTACTGGACCAAGAGAGCTTGTCTTCAGTAATCTTTGCTCTAAATAAAATCACAATTGGACTACAGTATTAAATCAGTACATATTCCTCTTTTCATCCAAACAAACAGGAGACATCACCACATTTCAAGCAAAAGCACCTGAGGAGGGCATGGAGCAGGATTGGCCTTGAGAAGGTGCAAGGTCTAGAGCAGGCATAGGCAAACTTGGCCCTCCAGATGTTTGGGGACTACAACTCCCATCATCCCTGACCACTGGTCCTGTTAGCTAGGGATGATGGGAGTTGTAGTCCCAAAACATCTGGAGGGCTGAGTTTGCCTATGCCTGGTCTAGAGAGACTCTTGAGGACCAGGTAGAGATCTGAAGGGCTGCATTTGGCCCCCAGGCATAAGGCTCCTCAGCCTTGAGACATATAAGATTTTGCTTAAGATATGTGTCAGGCTCCTGTCCCAAAATGTGTGCTGGTCCCGGGGGGAAGGTTACCGTTGGCGTAGTCAAAGTCCGGTCCTGGGTCACTAGCCTGTAAACAGTTCACAAGGTGCGGGGCGAGGTCCGGAGCAGGAAGCCGGGCGAGGACAGGAACACTGGAGGGTCAGGTCTGGGTCAGGGCAGGAACAGGTACTCCACAACGACGTTGCTCCCGCAACCTGGGACTGGGCTGACTGGCCTTTATCTTCTCTGAGGCCAGGGCGGTCCCGGCCCCCAGGAGACCCGCCTCCCCTGGCCTTAAGGCAAGCACTCCTCCTGGGAGAAACCAGTTCCCTTCGCCTCTCTGCCCTGAGCCTCTGCAGTTCAGGAGAGGCTGAAGGGTTACTGGGCCCAGGGGGAGACTCACCTGTAGGCACTGAGTCCTCAACCACCTCTGGAGCCAGAATGGATTCACCTGGTGCCTGCTCCTGAGGATCCGGCACAGGTGTAGGCGCCTCAGAATCAAGGCCCTGCCCCAGTTCAGCTGGCCCTGGAGGCGGGGACTCCTGTGCAGGCTGGGATTCCTCCGGTTCACCCTCTGAATCGGATTCCCAGGCCATCACAAAATGCAAGGACAACTTTTAGCTGAAAATAAAGAAGAGATCTTTATTCATTCTAAATAGCAGTACAGGCTCAGCAGCAAGCACAAGATCTAGAAGTCAAGATTCCACGGTATATGAGCAAGGCAAGAGATTCATACCTAACCAGAAGCTATGAAGATGTCCTGACTGGTGACATGCCTCTTCCACCAAGCTATTAAAGATGATGTAGGATGAGCTCACTCATCCTATGTTTTTTCTCTATGGTTCAGCCATGCGTACACACAAACATTACACCTGGCTGGGTGCATCTGATCCTACTTTTGAAGGCAGCACCTGGTTCTCAGTGTCAACACTGTGTTCTGCCCCTCTTCCTCCAGCTCAGCTACCGCCTCCTCCTGTTGGGTCCCTCTCTCTGGCACATGAGGTTCTGTGATCTGTAGGAGGGACAAGGGAGAGAGCTGGTAGATCTGCTTCTCCCTCTCTGGCATCTGGAGTAACAAGAGAAGGACCTTCTTCCTTCATCCCTGAGATGCTCACCTTCCAGCCTTTCATCTGTTCCTTTTCCTTCCTCCTCCACTTGCGTCTGGGGCTGTGAAACCATGCCAGATCCTGAAGAAGTCAAGGAGCCTGTGATAATACATAAATAACTTCGAAGGTATCACCTCTCTTGGTTGACATACACTACATCTGGAAAGGCTAGGGTGGAAGAAAATGGTTAATGCAGCAGCGGAAAGCCTTCAGGGGTTACACTGCTATAGAATAATACTAGTCATTTTGAGCATCTGCCTAAGAAAACTACATCTGAATTGGTCCCATTTCCGCCCCCTCTGTTCCATGTCAATATTCCATGCCTCATATCCATACAGCCATGCAGATCATACTGTACATAGCTTTTCATCACTGCCATTTTTGTTTTTCATTCTTGGGAAAGGTATCACTTTACCTATTCTCTCTGTGGGACATTCCTTGAGACTTAACCCAGCTATAATTCTCCGTGTGAAATGTTTATTACGGTTGTCATACAACATGTGCAGTGCCCATTCTTGGTACCCCTCCATCCCTTCATTTCCATGGTATGCTGGTTCTCCTCATTGGTCTTGACTTTGTTGTTTATACACACACACAAAGATCTGTGTCTGTTTCCTTTTTCCATTCATTAGTGAGTCAAATGGCCCAATTTTTTTGGCAGGCAGCATTTCGGAGAGATGTGCTATTGCAGGTGTTCCACTAGAAAGCGAGGGCCAATTCACACAACTCTCAGTGTGCTCCCTGATGCGAGCTGGATCGTTTCTTTATTCAAATTGGCCATTGGGCCAAGCCACTTATGTGATTATCCTGTCAAATGCTCACTTTACCCATCAAGATAGATAGGTTAAAAAACTTGGGGCTCCCCTCGCTTGCTCATTGGTAAACAGCAAATCACACAGTTGCAATGTGCAGTCACCTTAAGCAACCACATTTTCACAAAAGGGGGGGGCTGAGAATGCCATTCCATCAGAACACATCATTTCTCTTTGTTGTCCACAAAGTAGAAGTTGGAAAAAGACATTCTGAAATATAATATTAGGGCTGTCTTGACTGATCATGGATGAACACTTTTGGATTTAAAAGGGAGCTTTTGGGAAGCACTGAATCATTTGGCGAAACTCTCAAAAGATTGCCATTTTTTATATTTTCCAACCTCTGGACAGCTGTGGGGCATTTTTTTGGTCTTCCCTCAAGACTTCTTCATCCTTACAACACGATCCCAGCCAGTCAGGGATCACCTTGGGAATGTATTGATGTCACAATGCCAAAAAGCCTGTCATATTTGCTTGTTTGCAACAGTGTCAATGTGAGGAAACATAAGCCAATCCAGAATGACGCCCAATGTTTCTGTACCACTGCACCAATGTTTCCTATTTTTAGGGTGATGAGAAAAAGAAAAATGGGAGGAAAGGTTGTCTATGAATAGGTTGATAGTGCATGCTTGAGTGTTCTGCAGCAAAAGTGACCTATAGAATATACTCTCTAGCCTTCAGTCTTTACAATCTCAAGATGTACTTTTAATCTGAAACTGCAATAAGGATCCCACTTCATTTTTATGTACCTGCCTGTCTTTCTCCCCCACCCATCATCTTATTCTAAAAAGCCCCTCCCCAAGTCTAAACAACAAAGAAAGAAAGAAAAATGATGGTAGTGGACAATGTGTGACTCACTCATGGATCCTGGCCTTGACTTGTAAACCAGCGACCTTGACAATGTAGCTCTTAAATTCAATATACAGATATGGGAAATGCCACAAACTGACTGACGCACTGGAAAAAATGAAGTAAACATTCACTCAATCCACATCTTGGCATGCTCAGAGGTTTGCGTGTATTGGCCATGAGGTCTGGCTTGAAACCTTAAGTCATTTCTCAGGGTTTTAGTTTATTTTATTAGTATAACTACATCAATTACAAGAGCAACTGCCAATGGACCCTTTGTCAACTTGATCCTACGAATGTATACTTAGAGAGCAATCAACCCCGCCCCTCCCATCAACATTGCTGCAGGGGGTTAGGAATAGGCAGAGGAGTCCCTCTGCCAGGCTCTATTAACAGTGGGGAATCTCCTGGTCTGGAGGCTCTCACAACCCCCGCCAAATGCAAGCATGGGCAGCCAAGAAGCTACCGCCAACAGCGTCCCATCAGAGGTAGCCAGAGAAGGCCATCTAAATGGGGAATTATGGGAGAAGGTCAGGGCTGGGCATAGATCTGCTGGACCCTGAGTCAGTCCATTTCCTGGAGAGGGGCCTGATCTTGGACTCTCTGAGGATGCCATTAAAAAAACAAAACAAAAACCCACTGCAGTCCAAATACCCACAAATAGATTCCAGTACATAAAAATACAAAAACACACACATACGACTTGGACATTGGATAAAACTAAGCTACTCTGCATGTAAACATCCAGTCCAGCTCTGTGAGAATTTAGTGTAAGTGATCTCACTGTAATTTCTTTCCCCTTTTTTGTAAATAAATGTAGTATTATCATGCCTTCATGGGTCCACGTCCAAGCGACACTGGCTGGCTAAGCCTGGTTTCAAGCTGGCATGATAACTGATCATGTAAGTCAGTGGTGGGGTCATTAGGTTCATGCAGATCCCAATTTGGCACATTAGGACATTTTCACCAAACTTCCCCCCATGACCCTCGCACCTATATCATGTGTGCCTGCTCAAAAGAACAGGAGAATCGGGACACTTGCTTTTGGTGTCTTCAGACTAGATCCAACATTTATGGAACACAGGAAGCAGCAATTCATAAGCAGTTAAAGCCCTACATGCTCCTCTCATGATGATTACAGCACTTTCCTAGGAGCAGAAATGCACTTTGGAGTTCAGTGACGTATATATCAGAATATCATTCACTAATGTTATGAATCAGGGATGGCTAACCTTTCTCCCTCCAGATGTTGTTTGTCTTCAGTTCCCATCACCCACTGGAAAAATCAAATAAAAGTCCTTAGGAGAACACCAGAATCTAACTAATTTTTCTCCCTGAATTTTCTTCACCCATCTGTCAAGCACTGTGGTGGTGGGTGGGTGGGAGGGAAAAGTTTTGAAATCTTTTGCATCACACAGAGATCTGAATTATGAACCATTTTTAACACGATGAATAGTGTTTGGTTCCCTGTCTCAGTTGTTAAATTATTTAATGATCAAATATAATTGGCTACATGTTGACTGTTGCTTATTTCCAAAACACACACACATGCAACATCGTCCGTTCCCAATTTTATAAGTCGTGACAATAATGCACAATCCTTTGTGGAAAAGACTGCCTATTTTTACCATTTGAACAAAAAATACAAAACATTTTGTGGGCCACATGAAAGCAATAAAGCCTATAAAAATAATGAGAAAGTCTGCTTTGCATTATGGGGAGACGTTAAACTGGGTACATTTTTTAAATTAAAAAAATGCATATTGTAGGTGACACATGGTCATATTTTGTCCTGTTCATAGGTACTTTTGATTTGGAGGCTGTCGATGTTTCAGACTGTGATTTCCTGTTCCAATACTATATACATACATATATATTTGCCAGGTCAAGAATGTAAAAATGAGCATTGGTTGCGTTCTATTTATTCTGAGGACAATTTGGCTCTGCAAACAGCATCCTTTCTATTAATTTTCTTAAGATTCCACATCTTGGTGGTTTTCTTCCTAAGATATAAAAGTGCCCATATTATGTAGGAAGTCCACCAAAATGACTTCATATGTGAAAGATTGTACTCCAGAGGTTTCTGTGAAAAACAATTTCAAATGCCGTTGTGCAAGAGCATTCCATTTGTCAAAACCCAGTAATCATTTATATGGGCCAATTACATGTTCATTCCTTATTAATTGCAAACCTGTCTACTCCACGTTCCCTCATAAAAAGCAGCTAACGACAATCTGAATGGCCAAAACATAAAATTAATATCAAAACAAGTAAGGACAATCCATTACAACAGGGATGGGGAACATATAGCTCTGCAGATGTTGCTGAACCCCAGATGTTGCTGAACCCAGCAGCCCCAGTCACCATGGACAGTGGTGAGAGATTATGGCAACTCCCCTTCATCAGCTGAGCTCTACAAGGCATGAAAGCCAGCCTGGCCTCCCCTCCATGCTTTTCCCCTCGAAAGGGTGGGTTCAAAATCTGATCCCTGCACAAGGCAGCCTGGGGATCATTATTTCCTGAATTAAACTTGGAGGTACGCTTCACTCTTACAATCAAGATTTCTTTTCATTAGATCATTAAAATCGCAAATAATACCCACTCTTTGAGGACCACAGACACTGTGTTCCTGTGTTTTGACATTTTTTGAGCATGGCAACAACTTCCAGGCGGGTAGTTGTGCTAGTCTGCTGAAGCTGAAACATCAAAGAATCTTGTGGATGATTTCTTCCCTGAGATTTCTTGTAGTAGAGGCTTCCGTGGTCTGGATTCCACTCCATCAGAGCTCTGGTGCATCTGATGGAAGCTTCCAGGAATCTCATCCGTGGAAGCTTCTTTTGTAACAGATCAGTGGCTCTACAAAGATTATTGATTGTTTTCAGCAATCTCAGTCTGAAGGGGTGAGAACACCGATATGGATAGATACAATGGGCAGCCTCCTTTGAAAACAGGTAAATCTTCTGTCTTTTGGTAATGGGAGTGACTGGATGATTTATTTATAGCTGATGGAAGAATGGACAAAGTACGGCATAGACTGAGGCAAGATCATGAAGAGATGGTTTCTTTTGTAGAGAGATCATTGGGGGTTCCTGGGAGTCTTCAATTGGTCACTGGAGCAAGATTTAGCACATTACATCGATCCTGGCCTGACCGCACTGGCTCCCAATTAGTTTCCGGGCCCAATTCTAAGTGGTGGTTTAAGAGCCTTAAATGGCTCAGGACCACAAGATGCCAAGGATCACCTCTCTCCAAACGAATTTACCTGGACCTTGAGATCATCCTCTGAGACCTTCTTTGTGTGCCTCCTCCACGAGAGGTCCAGAGGGTGGCAACACAATAACAGACCTTTCTGCAATAGTTCAGCTGGTGTCTTCATTATACACCTTTAGGCGCCAGGCAAAAAGGTTCCTCTTCAACCAGGGCTTGGGCTGATTGACATTCAATGTCATTTTAAATGTGTTGTGGGAGGGGGCAATTTTTTGGGGGGGATGTTCTTAATTTTATTATGTATTCCATGGTCTGTTTGTTTTTTTAATTTTATGTTGTGACTTGCCCTGAGATCTATGGATAAAGGGGAGCAGACAACTTTAATAAATAATAATACAAAAATAAAGAAAGAAACTGAATTAATTCATTTCTTGTGGCGCACAAATAGCGTTGTCCCAGCCTGCTAATGTTCTGCAATATTTGTAACTTGCTGATTTAACAACTGACTATATTTCCCATAACATCTGAAGACCCTGAGCCAGTGTGTCTGCTGGATTAAGGGAAAGTGTTTCGTGTCCAGTTCATATTCCTGGGACTGAAAGCCTCTCCATCCTCTGGGCACATGGCCTTGGGTTTGCTGGCACTCCCTGAATTCTCCCCAACTCTTCCTGACACCACTCTTACATCCATACACACATGCATGTGTTCATCGCTTCAGATATGTGTTGCCTCACACTCAGCCTTTAGGGAAAGAGGGGATTTAAAAATCTAAATAAGTGCATTTATCAGTTCCACAGTCCCAGTGTGTTCATAATAACCAGGTACTTAAGGGGAGAAGAGGGATTTTGAGGGTTTGGTCACCCTGCTGGGTGTGAGAGAGTTTGAATGATTCCAGCTGTGGCTAGTTGGGCAGCTAGTAGGATTCCTGGAAGCTTCTTCCAATCTGTTGTGCCTGCAGTATGTTGCCAAACTGGCACGGTTGCCTTGCTTTGTTTGCTCTGAAAGCCAGCTATTTAGCTAAGGCAATGTGCCAAGCAAGATTTCGAGATGACAGGAGATGACATTACAAATGCAAATGTTGTTCACAGCAGAGGCATATGGAATAGGTTCTCCATTTTGGCTGGAAGTTGGCAGTGTGACGCCCGTATATGTTTGCAATCCAGGTGGTGACCTCAATCCTCTCAGCTGACGTATAAAAGGAAGGGAAGAGCACTCATGTGTCTGCTGTCTTGAGAAGAGTAGTTAAGTGATGTGACCAGCTTAAGCATGCAGAAACAGTGAGCTACAAAGCCAAGTTCAGCTCACCAGCAATAAATCATGGTGTGCCTGTAGTTT